TGATTGGGTGCACTTGTTTGAAAGCTTGGGCTGCTTTTATTTTTTTTGATGACTGGAATGTGAAATTTTTTTTGCATCTATATGAAAGAATGTCTATTGTATTATAGTTTAGTTATGTTCTTCTGTTGCCTATGATGAAAATCTCATAAAATACCATCTTTCGGGACTGAATGGCCACTAAGGCCTTGCTGTCATTCTGCAATTCTGAGGCAATTGTCTTAATATTTCGTTGTTTTTTGTTGGTTATAACGGAATTTTTTTTTATGGTTTCACTATTGTTTTTTTTTGGTTATACCGGAATTTTTTTTATGGTTTCACTATTTGGGTGCTTATGGACGGTCTAGTGCTGTTTAATTTTTGTCCCAACAGCACTTAACATATTCATAAGCTAAATTTATCCATGCCGCCATGTCTTTCAAGTCTTATTCTCCAACTCTTTGAGATGAGGCTATCCTTGGGGTGGCTGATATGTATTGTCTGACAAGAAGTTAAAACAGGGGCTGATATGTATTAACTGTCTGACAAGAAGTTAAAACAGGGTAATTCTAATGTAACAGGTCACTAAAAATAATTAGCCCGACCATGTTGCTGAATAGGAAATCCAAAAGAAGCCCGAAAGATTCTGACCATGTTACTGAATGTGGTTTTAAAAATTTCAAATTTGCCCGACCAAGTAAAGACTGTGGAAAAGATGACCTTGTATCAGAACCAGAGAGCACAAAATGGAAACTCTGTTGTAGAACCATGAATGGTGGGTCTTATGAAAATATGCACTTTGGCTTTGTAAATTAGCTTTAGTGCTAAGCAAGTCCCACATATTAAACTACGATTGCATCCATTGCTTGGTCAGCAGTGCCCTTTGCTCTGTGGAATGTTGGCCACTCATGGATGGAAAAATTCTAGAGAAATGTAACTCAACATGAAAATGTAAGGAAATTGATGGAAAATACCAAAATTACGAACTCTTATTAAAGATTTGACATGGGCCTAAATGTATCATATAGAACCTTTAACTCTCTATATGTAAAAGGTTCTTACAGACCACTGCAGTATATTCTGAAGTATAATCGGATCAAGAATGGGTTACACAATTTGATGGTTTTCCATGAGGCTGGTGGGAAGGGAAAAGGATGTATTTGTTGTAGAAATTTACAATCGTAGGTACATTTTTTATGATACCCATGAATGTCACCCTTCTTCCTAATTCTATCAACTCCACCTATGATCTCTGGTAGAGTGACAAATTTCATGAATAACAAGGTCTCTAGTTAAAGGCCAATCCCATGTTCCTTCGTGAATCACTACTTGCCGTCTCGAATCCAAAGGTTACCCAGTGACTTTGTCATCTGATTTTTAAGTTTTGATATTTGTTCAGTAAATTATTTTTTCTACACAAACTTTGTCAAACTACACAAACTAGCGGTGCGCATGACCCAGTGCTCAAGCGTATACATGTATGTTAGCTTTTAGGTTACCGTATGTCTTGTGAGTTCGTTTGAGATTAATACTCTTTTTTTTCCAAAATTATATAATAAAATGAAAATTTATAATTCAATAAGAGTAATCTGTTTAAAAGATCTTTTACATTTGTCTGAAAATCTAATTTGGTCCTTTATATCAAAAATTCACTCATTTGGTCCTTTATATTTGTCTTTTCAACTAATTTGGTCATTTTCATCTTTTTTGGTCTTTTACATTTGTGAGTTCTTGGGTTGATCAATTTTTTGTCAACTCAATAAGGGCATTTTTGGTAATTTATAAATATCAGATTTTTAAAATATGTTAAAAACAAAAAAATGTATTAAAACAATAATAAATATATTATATTAATTTATAATTTATTATTAAAAAATAAAAATATTTAAAAATTCAAAATTTAAATATAATATTATTAAAAAATTTAAAAATTGAAAAATAAAAAAATCAAAATCTGATTTTTTTTAACCCGTGGGCCACAATCGAAACTTTTTACCCTTGAATTATTCTATTTTTATTATGTGGGGCCAACATTTAATTTTTTTTACCTTTATTCAGTATTTTTTTTTTCGTTATACCAAAATAACTCATGAAAAAAAAATTGAATAAGGGTAAAGAAAAAAATTAGATGTGGTCCCCACATGATAAAAACAGAGGGCTTATTTGGACAATGGTTTATTTTGGTTTTTGGTTTAGGTTTTTTTTTGTTTGAGTTTGAGATACAATTGAAAATGTGATTTATCATGTGGGGTCCACATCTAATTTTTTTCTTTACCCTTATTCATTATTATTTTTTTTCTTAAGAACACTGAATAAGATGTTGGCCCTTAAGAACACTGAACACTGAATTATTCTTAAGAACAGTAAATAAGGGTAAAGAAAAAAAAATTAAATGTTAGCCTCACATGATAAAAACAGAATAATTCAAAGGGTAAAAAATTTCGATTGAGACCGACGGGTAAAAAAAAAATCTCATTTTGGATTTTTCATTTTTTTTAATTCTTTAATAATATTATATTTGAATTTTGAACTTTTAAAATTATTTTCTTATTTATTAATATAATATATTTAGTATTATAAATTTTTTTTTCTTAATATTTCTATATCACCACCGGTCCACCTCCACCGCCGCTGTCGGACAGCCGCCGATCGAGGGCCGGCCGACCGGATTCTGGCCAACTCCACAAAATCCGGCCGGAATCTGGCCGGTCGGTCGCCGGCCGCCGGCAGTCCGACAGCGGCGGAGGTGGTGGATAAAAATTGGGTAAAAAAAAAGTTTCGATTGGGGTCCGGGTTAAAAAAAAAAAAAATCAGATTTCGATTTTTTTATTTTTCAATTTTTAAATTTTTTTAATAATATTATATTTAAATTTTTAATTTTTACTTTTTTTCTTTTTTTAATAATAAATTTTAAATTAATATAATATATTTAGTATTATTTTAATACATTTTTGGTTTTTAACATATTTTAAAAATATGATATTTATAAATTATTGAAAATGCTCCTATTGAGTTGACAAAGAATTGGTCAACCCAAGAACTCACAAATGTAAAGGGCCAAAAAAGATGAAAAGGACCAAATTAGTTGAAAAGACAAATATAAAGGACCAAATGAGTGAGTTTTTAATGTAAAGGACCAAATTAAATTTTCGGACAAATGTAAAGGACTTTTTGAGCAGATTACTCATTCAATAATTTAAAATTCAAATTGAATGATTATGCATGTTTAAAACAAATAAGCCAGCTTGGAGAAATAAGTCATACTTTCATTCCTTTTTATTAGAGACATTGGAGATAATTTTTTTTTTTAGTATTTTCTTCAAAAAAAAAGATTTAATATTTTCAAGAAAGTATTAAATAGTTTTTATCTATTGTTGAATCTTTAATTAACTATCTCAAAAAATTCATCTCACTCAAATACCATCAATATGATATGGTTAATTTAGTAACTCATTCGAGACGTATAACTCAAAAACTTAGTTTTATTACTATGGTATTTGATTACAAAGTTAAGGAAATTAAAACTATATCATCACAAATTATACAAAATTCGGAAATGAGTCCCGAAGTAAACAAGAAAATGATCAATAAGTCCCAAACATCAAAATGCGAGGACATTTTCAATAGTTATCTGAAATGTTTTGGTTCAAACTTAAAATGATCACAATATCCTCTCTTTTTTTTCTTTTTTTCTTTTTTTTGTTGGACGTAAATAACTTCATACTTTAACTTTCTTATAAATTGAGGTGAAATTATTTTAATTCTTCAAAATTTTGGAACTAATTCCCTCGTCTTAATTCTTCCACATCCAAATCTTGAATTTGGTGGAACTTGATGGCTCGTCTTTAGCTTTGCCAACAATACAAGACAAGAATCTTTTTGATTACTTTCCAGCTTTAATTTTTTTCGGATAAATTGTTTAGTTATTGTTAAATGTTAAGTATTGATTTATTTCAAGATAATTTATAATAGTGATAAGGTTTATACTTAAGAGAAATGCTACCCGTTGAAGAGCTTTTTACAATGACATGATCACACTAAAACTAGCAAGAACAAACTTTCAAAAAATAAATAAAATAAATACTCTAGTTTGAACCCTATTAATACATTATACTGAACATCACGGTAATACTTGCGAAATACACCAAATTTAGTTAAATGCTAGTAAAAAAATGAACAGTAGCTAAAGCTTCTTACACATGCTACTTCAACAAAATCTTAAATCCGTCTACTGCAATTTGAATTTTCAAAAGGGAAAAAAAAAACGTCATTAAAAAGTTTCATTTCTAATGGAGAAAAATCAATTTTCGTTTCAAAGTAAAAATACTTTAATGTCTAATGGGGATCTTAACCTTTTACCTTCTTTATGAGTAAAAAGAAGGAAGAAGCATTACTACTATAGTTCTCGGTCGAGGAGATTTCTTTGGCGTTAATAGGAGATTCGACTTAAACATGAGTTTCGAGACCAAATTTCGTACGAGACTGTTTAGATTCTTTGACAGGTCGGAAGATTTATTTTGGCTCGAAAATCTACTATGCGGGAGTCAAACCGTGGTTAAAACACAATGTTTATAATATAATGATTTAACTACTTTCAGAATCTCCTTTGTTGTACCCGAAATTTTTATTTTTATTTTTTTGGAATGTTTTTTTTAAACGATGTTCAAAATACCTATTTTGAATTAATAATTCGGATGTGAATTGGAAAGAAAATCGAAATTGTCTGCCTACTTTGTGCAGTAGAATCTGAAAATCGCATTTCTTTCGGCTAATAATATACTGTAAACTCCATATCTATCAAGGTAAAACTATGTAAAAGTTATGTCAATTTTCAACGAGTTCGACCATAATTAAATTGCCCATACACGCAAAGCTTCATTTATGGCTTCTTAGCTTTTTCCCTCTTTTCTTTCTTTTTCAGAATCTCTATTATTTTTTTTCCTTCCTCAAATAAAAGGTGACACTACCATTCACCTAAGGATGGAAGCTTGAGTCGTGTTTACATTGAATTCATCGTTAAGAAACAAAAAGTAAATACTTCATTCGTCTCAAAATTATTGTTCAGTTTGAATTTTCAGTAGACAATAATTTTGAAATTGAGATAGTAGTAATTTCAAATTGTGTCGAAGAATTACGTCTACTCAAATCAAAAATGAAATATTGCAATATCTTTTCTAGACAAATACTACATTTGTTTTCGAGGCAATGATAAAAGTCGACATGGGCAAACAAACTTCAAATTGAAGTTATGTGTGTACCCTAATTTTTTTGACCAAATGATCAGAAAAGGAATGTTTTATTTAGATTATCTTAGCTTTAGAAAAAGAAATAGGAACATAAAAAAACAGAAAAGCAGAAAGCAACCAGACCATATAATTAGTAGCTTAAAGACACATGCAAGGATGATCCCATGAGCCAAATGATGAAATCCACAGCATTTGAACCTACAAACCGCCATTTTGACACGATTTTTGATGCAAAGAACAAATCAAAAAGCCAAAAAAGCATATCGAAATCCATGTCGTCCCAGATGAACTGTTGTTCTCAATACCTCATTGTCTTCTTCTTCTTCCTTGCTGCCACGCTCCACTGTGCCAAACAATTCAATCTTCATGGCCCAGAGAGTGTACCAGGTCTGGAAAGGAAAAAATGTAAGTTATTTTCTGATTCTTTTTCTTTTGTTAGTTTTTCCCAATTCTACCATTGGATCTTCTAAAGAGCTTGTTACGGTTGTGATTACATTAGTCTGAAGTGATCTTCAGACTGTGCATAATACTCTTTTTTTTTTTTTTTTGAAAGTGAAAAATTTGATGGGTTCTGCTGATTGCAGCAAATTCTGAACTGGATTGTGGTTTAGGTTGAATTTGAGTTGATGGTTTGTCTTTCTTGCACTTTCCGTTAGGAATTCGTTCATCTTATGAAGGATAATTTGGGGTGAATTTGGCATAATGGAGAATAATTCATCTAACTGAACAGAATTATTTCCCTCCATATGAAACATTTGTTTGAATAATTGAGGCCTTGATGGATCAGAAGGGAAGAGGATGCAAACTATTTTTATCAAAAAGGGAATGATTTTGAATAAGGGTTAGGAGATTTGCTTTTCAATTCCACAAGTTGGGAAGCCTCAGGTTGTCTGGATTGTTTAGTGATTGCCTAACTTTTAAGAAGTAATTACTCTGTTCACTTTCCACTGCATAACTACTCTTTCAACCAGAAAATTCGTTTCTCGGCTGCACCTGTTTACTCATCTTCTTGGTACACTGTTGGTAGTTTAGCTTGAAGTAATGAGGTGATTTTACTGACCCCTCAACCATGTAGATTGGGTTTATGCTCATTGGTAATTATAGACTATCATTGTGTCTTTATCCAGTTTAAAATGTGAAGTATATTTTTTGGTTTGTCAATCTTAAACTTGGTAATGCGTGTAAGCCCATATCTCAATTCTAATCAGTACATATATCTGTTTGTGGTAAGTGATGACTCATGAAGCTCTCTTTGCTTTAACAATATTTGATACCATAGACACATTCAATATCATGAGAATAAAAGGATTTCAACAGATATCAATTGCTTCATTGTCAATATAGGTTAGGTGCACAAAAACAAATGGAAAGGAAACAGAAATGATCCTTCTTAATTTTAGGTATTCGTTGTTGAATAAGCTACTGGCACTTGTTTCTTAGTTTTCCGACCAGATCAATAAACTGTTTCAATTAGGGCTGCATTTGTTCTTGAATCTTCTTAATAATTAGTATCAGGAACCATTTCCGACATCCCGTAGCATGAAAATAACTGATAATGATAAGAGAAAGTAGAAAGCTTTGAAAAATTTTCCTTTATTACCTTATAAAGGATAAAGTAAGTATGATGAATCAAGTCCAAAGTATGTCACTAACTCACTTCCTACTAGAAAAAAAGCAGAAGCATAATAAATCCTGATATAGAGAAATTGGTTACGGTGTTCGCAGCTTCTCTGCACTGAACAAAGATGCTGATTGTCCAACTTGTGTAAGCTTTCAAACTTATCTGTATGAAATAGAAGAATTGATGATTACATTATACAACTGATCTAAAGTTAGTTTAATTTCTGACAGAAATTCTTGCTGAAAGGGAGGCTGATATTCGGGCCTGATGCAAGCTCATTAATTGTTACCCTAATGCTCATCCTTATCCCTGTTATCATCTTCTGTACATTTGTTGCGAGGAATCTTATTAAGGAATTCGCTGCTCAAACTGCTGGATATGCAGTTTATCTGGTGGCAATCATATTTACCATCCAAGTATGTTCTCTTTTATGTCAGTTTAGATACGCATGTAACATGTTCTGTACACAACTTGTTCTCTCAGGTTCACATATTCATATGTTTACTTAGTTCCTTTTTGTTACCTCATACAAGATAGCTTGGTCGATTATGCGAAAACCAGAAACAAATACTTCACAAGCACAACGATTATTATTTTCATGAAGTGTTGAAATGAGTATGCACTGTCTTGATCACTGCCTTGAGCATAACTGCTCTCACATGTTATCATTGCTAGAGAAGATTAATTAAAAAAATGGACAGTATAGCATTCTTAAATCGGAAATTGCCTTACCTGTGTCTTAAAATATGGCTCAAAGGCACTCAACAATAATGCATTTAACTGTTCGTGCACTGGGCTTTTCACTGCTTAAAATAATCAATAAGACAAGGTCATAGAGAGGAGGCCTTTGAGATCAGGGATGAAAAAATTTGCTATATTTCACGTTGCTAAATAACTAGAAGCTCATAGTTATGGTTCATTATTATTTGCTTATCCTTATTATGTGTTCTGATCCTGGTGGATTGTATTAGGTCCTTGTACTTCTCCTTTTAACCTCAGCTCGTGATCCTGGAATTGTACCCCGTAGTCCTCATCCTCCAGAAGATGTTTCTGGGTATGATTCATCAGCCTCTGTTGAAGTTGGTGGAGCACAAAGTCTACAGCTTCCTCGTACTAAAGAGGTATTTGTTAACGGTCTTCCTGTAAGAATCAAGTATTGTGAAACATGCATGATCTACCGTCCACCAAGGTGCTCCCATTGTTCAGTATGTGATAACTGTGTAGAGCGATTTGATCATCATTGCCCATGGGTTGGACAATGCATTGGGAAGGTTAGTTCTGCTTGTGGTTTCTCCTCCTTCCTCTACATGATTATCTTATTGGCAGCTCAAACTCATCAGTCTTCTAATAGCATTGTTAGGTTATCTAAGACGGATTTCTCATGAGGTAATACAGAAATACAAGAAATCTGACTATGGAAATGGTCTTACGGTATCCATTTCTTGTTTTCTGGTGCAGCGCAACTATCGTTGCTTCTTTCTATTTGTTTCTTCATCGGCCCTTCTGTGCGTATTTGTCTTCTCAATGTCAGCGTTATACATGAAGTTCCTGATAAATGATTATGGAACTGTTTGGGAAGCTGTAAAAGTATCGCCTGCTTCAATGGTGTTGATGGGGTACTGTTTTGTGTTGTTTTGGTTCGTCGGGGGCCTCACTGGCTTCCATACTTATCTCATAACCACAAATCAGGTGAGATCTGGTCCCTGTCGATCAAGTTTTGTCCATTATACTTCCTAGTTCCTACAAACAATACTTCTGAACTCTGAAACATTGTGAAATTTTTTGCCATGTCCTGTCTAGAATTTTTTTAGTTTCTTCCATGTGCATTTGTTAGTTCCCTGACGCATAAATTCTTAAAGACTTCCTATGATGCATGCAGACCACGTACGAGAATTTCCGTTACAGAGCACAGAACTCGATCAACGTTTATGACCGAGGTTGTGGAAACAATTTCGCTGAAGTATTTTGCAGAAGAAGAGAATCTTCAAAAATCAATTTCCATGGTCTTGAGAATGAAGAGTTATCAAAGCCTCCAAAAGGCTCGATCCCGGCAATGCCAATCGGAAATCCTGACGAGACCAGGCGTGTGAAGGTGGAACATAGTCTTGAGATGGGGAATGACCTTTTAAACATTTCCCAATGGCATGATTCTCAAGAAGCTGCAGACATCCGAACTAGAGCTACAGGCGGTTAGCCTCGGCAATCTTTAACGTTGTCTAGTAGACATTCGAGTTAGCTGCTTAGCTTCATAGGTTGGGTCGTCTTGTTTGAATCTCTATTTTTTGCTCGAAGTTGGATGGTAACGCTGCGGTTGAGGCATTTGGACAAAGCAACAACTTGCATTGTGATTGGACATTAGTAACTAATAGAACCAGTATGGAATGAAATGAATATACTTTTTTTCCCCTCAAACCACAGAGTCGTTGGTTTTGCTATTCACATTGGTTCTATGGTTCTTGGGAACTACTTTGGCGATTGGAAACATGTACCAAGAACAAGTATCCTGACATGTATGGATTCGATCGCTTTTTCTTTTCGCGGAATATTTTTCATCATAAAGACTTTTCAAGAATTCTCATTAGTCATTTCACTCAATTTGTATGGAGTGAACTTTCAAACTGAAAAGATGACAAAAACAGGGGACTCAAAAACCGGCAGATATTGTGTCCTTTTGCCTTTTAAGCTCAAAAAATCTTCAGCTGCGCCTTAGACTGAAAACAAAAAAACTCTCTGTCACTCATGCATAAATCCTGATCCCAAACTCTGAAGAACCCCCAAAAATTTAAGTTCCCCGGCAAAGTTCAATTAATTTGGCAGAGTTCAAGAGAAGGAAGATAGTTTACGTTTATAGTTGTCTCCCACAATTCAGCTTCTTCAGGGTTGATGATGGTGGTGATTTTTTTACAGGTAAGATCTCCAAATTTCAGCGTATTCCACAAATTTATCACAAATTTCCAGACCCTGGAATCTGACTCTATAAATTTTGCTTCGTCACAGAAGGGACAGCTTGATCTTCACAAAAGTGTTGCGCCTTCTTCTTCTTCAAAGGTTTTCAAAGAAAGAATCACCGTCTTCTTCACATCCAGAACTCTGCATCTTTTGAGTGAATGGATTCACTCGGTAGCAGAGGTTTCGATGACAATAAGGCACGTAACAAAATCGATCTGCTCGAAAGAACTGTTGAGATATCATTGCAAAAATCTCGATTTGGTAATACAACTTACCGGCAAAACATCTCTCAGTGCGGACAGGGTGAGGCACCTAAACAAGCTGACATTTGAAGCTGTAGTTGGAGGGATGTGACCGGGAACAAGGCGTAATCAACCGCTAGGATTGGATTGGATGAATGTTGTTCTATGAAAATGTATTCCCAATCCTTGATTTAATGTGTAACTTTATCTCTGTAAAGGAATCTATCTCCATAAAATACACTTTCTGGGCACTCTGTTCTTCCACCACCACCAATTGAAATCCTGAAGAAAAATCTTATTGTGCCTCTTGACATCTCTCTCTGGCTTTCAATCACAATCCCTTGGAATCTCCACTTGTGATCCTTCACTACAAGCTTTTACCTCATCATGATCCTTGCCGGTTGCCTCTTTTGTATCTCTAGATACTTCAATGAAATAACAAAACCTTAACTTCCTAATAAGAATCCTAGACAAAATAGAGTCTCATTGTGAACATGCAAAACTGTTGATATCTAAAATTTCTGTGGGAGATTTAAAGTTTGTATGATATTTGGACATTTTTGGTTCCCAGGTTTTCTGCTTCAATTAAAGCCAGTAAACGCTGTCATGCCTTTTCACTTGTAGCGACGAAGAAACCACATAAAGTAGAAAATTAGAAGTTGAAAATCATAACTTCGCAACGTTACGAGTCATTTGGTAATTAAGGACCTTCATAGAATCTTTCTTTTTATTCCTTTTAGAATCAAGACCATAAATCTCAATTATGACGGTAAGAACACAATAACAAAAGTGGATATTAACCTTTAAAAAAAAAAAGTGGATATTAAAAGAAATGTATCTGGTCATGTTCAACGCAATAGCGGAGAACAAGAAAAGACTGTGACATAATACTCTTTTGTTTCAAAAAATTGTCCACTCTATCCTATTGGTTTAGTTTATAACAAAATACATTACCCTTTATAAAAAAACAAAATAAATTACTATAGTATTAATAAAAGAGGAAATGCAAAACTGCGCGGATTTTCCGCCATTTTTTTGTGGGTTCCAAGAATGATTATGGGGTTAATTCCATCATATTTAGTCCAAGGCTCTCCTTGCTCATAACTCTAAAAACGACTGAAGCAATACTCTCTCACATATTAAATTGTTGCCTCACATCTATTTGGCTTTTGATTTCACCCGTCGTAGTCATGTAGAAATCTATCTTGATAGGATTTGGATTTTGGAGTGGATTTTCCAAGTAGATGAAATCTGATGATGGAGGGAATTGTACCGCGGATTTAGTAGAATTTCGGTAGGATTTATTTGCAAAACAGAGCCTCAGATATCTTTCGAACGTAAAGACTTCAATACTTAAGTCAGAAAAGAGTTGCCTGTGTCACATGCTTACTTTTTCTAAGTAACCGCCGTGCGGCATTAATACTAAAACAACCAAAAATGAACATTCTAACTCAGTCTGGACCACTGGCGGATTTACAGTGTGGGCCGTGGGGCCATGGCCATTAACCCCACCTAGAACCCTATATATTATATAATTTTTTATTTTTTTTACCTTTGTAGTTTTAATTTTTTTTCCGCATGGTGAAGCTTTCTGTGAATGTTGAATTTGCCTTCTAATTCCATTAGGTCACGTTGGTGAGTTGGTCCCACAATAAACTAATTCTTATTTAACTATAAATTTTTTCTTCCGAGGCTTCACGTTTAGTTTAGAAACTAGCCGAGATATACTCCGCGCGATGCGCGGAGAATTACATGCCCGTTATGTAAATGTTAGTATTTTTTAAGGGGTTCAGTTGAAGTTTTATTCGTGTGTATCTATGAGTACATGTAAGTCCAATCTATCGATGAGACACCTAAACTAAAAAGAAGCATAAAAGAAGAAGCATATTAATAACGGTAGACATGCAAATGTAGAATTGATGAATAGTTGATTGTCATCTCATTAATAACGGTAGACAAATAAAAAATAAAAGTGAATTTCAACTATGACACGGTAATTTAAATTTGTGTTGCCATGGATAAATATTCTCCATGTGAAGATCACAAAAAATTATTACAGTAAAAGTAACCATGTCATGTGGTAGGAAAACCAATATGTTTCCATTAACCAACTGATGATCTTCAACAAAATGGTTCCAATTATGGTAGAACGATTTGTTATGCAGTCCAATCTGGTATTGTCTAGCACCACTGAGCAATTGAATAAATGGTCGCGTCTCTTGATCCATGAAAAAAGTGGCAACGTACGGAAGTTTCTGAAATGACAGTGTGCAAAAAAAAATAAAAAAAACTAAGTAGGTCCTATGCAAGGTGAGACATTTTATACCAAAATTTAAATGGATAGACCTTGGGTTAGTAACGATGAAGGAAAAATAATAAGAAGAATATCGTACCAATTTATAACTTTCTGCTTCAGTGTAGGTAACATAAAAACCTGGAATGACGTCCGTGTTTATTTGAAAGTGCGGGTTAATGGAAGATGATATGGTATGAGATCCCGCTAAACAAGAAGGGAAGAAGTTATTAAAAAATCAAGCATGTGTGGAATGGTAAAGATTAAATGTAGGAAAAGGGAGAGTGAATTACTAGAAGCTCGAACATGCGGTATACTTGCTAGGGACTCCGACCATTTTAATGAAATTTCCATATGTGTCTCGTCAAAAGGCAAGATGTCGTACGAGTTTGTGTTTCGCTGTCGAAACAATATCATACTTTTGTTTTTTATAAGATGGTCGTTGCAAAATTCTTCCCAACCGACATAAAAATGTTGAGAATCGACCATCACATACCATCTTAAAGATCCACAATGGAGGCTAATCCGTTGATCGTTCTCCATGCCAAAATATGCAAAAACATGCAAGGGTAGCTTCTGAGAGGCGACATCCGAAAACACGTTACAATCAATAATAATATTAAATGATTGTAAAGTAATGATCTTTTACCTGCCGAACAGTGGAAGAGCATACTAATACAAAGCACCAAATTTTGTTGTTTGACTCGGCGTAGGACGAAGGACGATGAATGTCTGAATTTACGAGGATAATGACAATAACTCATATTAGATAAACCACGAACAAATAGAACAAAAGCACATTTATACATTACCATGTTTACCTCGTGACAAAAATGATATCGATTCGGCATGCAATATTTTGTCTATCCAACCATGAAGACTTTCTATAGATGTTTGATCGAACCACCCAATTATGGCCGGTAACCTAGGGAAGTTTTTGAGAAATTTTGGACAGATAAATATCCTTATATTACCGTGTTGATTAGTAACCTTTGCCACTAAATGACCAATATTTGAGTTGTCTAGGAGATAATATTTCCCTCCGTCTTCTGTTTGGCGACATTGATTGAAAAGATTCATAACTCAGAAGATTGAAGATTTGGAAAAGTAAACACGTATGGAATGAGTTATTGGAACAAGTGTAGAATGCAAAAATTGTGAGAGTTTAAGATGGAAGTGGTACAATATTTATAGGCAAAAGAAAAGTGTTCCCTCAAAAAAGAAAACCCGTGAAGGAATATTTCTCCATATTAACCCAAACGGATAGAAACAAGAACCAAAACACTCCGTTCCTTCAATAAACCAACGCGTGAAGGAATATTCCTCCAGCGAACCACCCAAACGGATAGAAACAAGTACCAAAAAAAGAAAGGCAAGGAAAACGATTCTTCGGACGGTGTTCAACTTCGGCGTGCCTTTAACAATCGGATTCCTAGCCACCCTATACTCTGTCAGTCCATGGAAGGTACGTGTTTTTTGAAGACCAATCCCATTTTAATTGGAAGATTAAGATTATTTGTTCTTTATTGATCTAAGCAATTAGAGGTGTAATATGTTTTGTTATAGTAAATTATGTCCAACTTGGCACGGATCTGAACCCAATTTCGTCTTTCCTGAAGTTATTCGGTCGGTAGTGTGAATCAAATCGGTTCTTGCAGTGAGTGGAGCAGGTCACTTTTCGATTAAGCATACAACGAGCATGCAGTAACTTTTTCTATTTTCGTGAAAGAATATAGATGCCTTTTAAATCTTTGGAAGCTTGCACTAACTTTCCAACCAGTGATTTATCTTGTTGTATGTATTGGTCCTCTTGCAGTCAATTCCTGAAAAGTTATCTGTGAAACATTACGACCAAGGCAAAAAAAAAAAGTTATCCGTCAAGCCTTTATTTTTGCGGTGTGCTTGCATACATTTGTCAAATAAGCCGAGAAGTTTCTGATCATTCAGGTGTTATTGGAGGGTTATGACCTTTTTTGTAACTCTGAAGCCACTAAGTATGTAATTATGCAGGTAATCAACAACAGTAATGGGGAAGAAGATGTTGACAGTGTTGAAAGGCAACGGTAGTAGCAGTCTGGTAAGTTCTGGACCCGTTTTTTTTAGATATATACTTCTATTTAGATTAACTGAAACCATGTTCGTGCAATGTTAGCTGTTGGAGATCGTAGAATCTAATTTACCCGAGGGGAAATTTTCCAAGAAGATCAACCTTGTTACTTCAAGCGGTCTATATCCAGTGAAGCTTCAGAAGAACGAATACGGTTTGATCAATTTTGTCGGGCCCTGCTGGAAGGAGTTGTGCAGTGATCTTGAACTCCAAGACGGTGGCAAAGTGGTAATGGAGGATATCAGTTTATGCGGGAAAACATCATTGTTGTTTGTCCCTTTCGACACTGATCAATGTGTGAAGGAATCTACACGTACATCATTGGTAGACACGTATTCGTTCTTGGTTCCCTCAACCAAAGAAATCTATGCAGAAGTTGTAAGTTCCTTTTAATTCACATATAAGCATGCACCTTAATTTTTTGACATTTGTTGGTCAAAACTCAAGCGCAGGGATTTTTTTTTTCTGTGCAGGTCATCCCTAGTAAGCTTTTACGGAAAGCTTGTTTAGATTATGCGACTCATGTATGTGTGAGAACAGGGCAAGGAAAATGGATTGTCACCTTGGTGGGCGAGTACCGTAATAAGTCTTACATTCGCGGGAACAACTGGACCGAGTTATGCACTTATCATAACCTGGAGGCAGCTGCGACATTGCATTTTAATTATTGGGGATCGCACATATTTGACCTGACGATGTTTTCAGCCAGCGGGCATGAGATAAAGTATGATAGTAGTGCAATGGATGCCGGTGAGTGTTTGATAGCAGTCAGAATATAGTCTTTTGATGTGATATTATAAACCATGATATTAAACAGCTATTGAAAGCAGGTGAATGCAGGAGCGAAGGACTATCTAATAACCAGTTTGATGTGGTGTTAGACAGGGACGTCTTCAGAAGTAACAGAATTGTAAGCAAATATCTTTGATGGATGGGTAGTTGCATAGGGGTAAAATGCGAAGGATAATATATCACAACTATATGATTTAAATGTTATTCCATCTTCTGTGTAGGAAATCCCTCCAAGTATGGTAACCAAGTTCGATTTGATGAGGAAAGAATTTGCATATATAATTCATCCAAATGGAAGGTTCACTGCAAATATAATGGCAAGGCAGTTATACGTATCTAGCACAAGCATGAAGCCTTGGGTCGTCATGGATGCAAATTGGTCGATGTTGACAGTTCGGAACAATGATTCGGGTAGAGGAACCATAATGCGTTTTGAATTGGTTCGTCACAGGAATACAGATGCAGCTAATGGAGTGGCATTCTCCGTAACCTTTCATAGTGTGTAGTTTGATAATTGTATCAGTGTTTGGCGTTTAATTAATCATAATGATATTCGTTGCTAGTTATTGACTGTTTTAGCAAGCAGTAAACATATGGAGAATTTCTATGAATAAGTACTGTTTGATAAATAAGTAACCATTCTGTTTAATTTAGCCAAGCATGTATTGTTGCAGAACGTTGGTATCTACCATAATATTGTTGGATGCATTTGAAAAGTTTTCCATATGCTTTTTGTTTTTTGTACGGTTATCCTTTGGAGGGTGTTATGTGAATTTCAATTTGCAGTCATTTTGGAAAGTATGTTCTATGTTGTGTGAATCTTAATGCAACCATTCTGTTCAGAAGAGAAAACAAGGTTGGAAGACATAGTAAGTTACGACCGAGGCAATAAAAAAAATGCAAGATATGGGATTAAAGGCAACATGCATTTTTCTGAAAGGCACAACGCAAATATTATCCATAAATATTACGACATTGTAAAGGCCAAAAGCACGGTCTTGGTTCCAGATAAGGGTGTTTGGCAAAAAAAACCATGTCCATAAAGGCGGAAAGGTTTAAGTCATGACCTAACCAATCATTAAGGAGGACAAATAAAAATAGATACGCAAAAGTATTTGTCCTATAATCAGTAGATTAGCCTCTCTTGGGCCGCTTTGCCTTGCGATCATCATTTGTGGAATCTCCCTTCACAGCATCAGCTTCCGCAAGCTTTGAATCCAAGCACAGCTTTGCCTTGGGTTCTGAAACAGAGACTCCTGCCAAGCACAATTTAAATCAGGAGAAGTACACAGAATTAGGAGGCAGGAGGATGACTAGAAAATCACTGATGTTACCTTCAGGCAGAACAGATATTGCTTCAGCGTCACCAGATGCGTGCACACCTTGCTGGGCATGAGTATTGAAGTTTGCTTCAGCGTGCACACCTTGCTTCAGCGTCACAACTTGGACCAGGTTCAGTGAAGTTTGCTTCAGACAAGCACTGGACAAGGAAGCGCGACTGTTCGCTGGCATACTTTGATTTTGACAGTTTAACAAGGCAGGAAAATATGTTTGATGACAAAGAGTTGTGAACGTCAGTGAGGTCAATTTCCTTTCCCTAAAAAACAGAGGAGAAAAAGAATCAGCACAGACATTAGGGAAGGCCAGTAGCAAGGAACACAGGTCACAGAAGGGCCATCGAACGGGAAACATTGACTAATACCAACCTCATGACCGGCTTTCATGAATTCCAGTGCTGAATGCGCAAGGATCTTTTCAGCATCTTCACCCAACAACACACCCCTAAGAGTATCAGAGTGATCAGTTATATCCGCTTCCAGGCGACACCTAAAGTCACAACATTGGATGGAATTGTGAAAAGTAATCTACATGTAAGAAGCAAGGGCTACGGTGTGAGGAAATCACGTGTTTTGTCAGTTGTCGGGAAAGATGGGTTCAGATTAAAAACATCAAATTACCTAGGTGACGCCTTTTGACTAAGACCACAACCATTACAAGGATATACCAGTCCAAGCTCAGATGCAGTTGATTGGTTACAATTTTGACAACCCATGTACCAGAAATTCTGCAGTATATGCCGAAAGGTGACCATCACCTTCACCCAGCCAATCTGAAGGAAGAAAACCATAAAGATGAAGACCATAGACCCTAAACCCTAAACCCTAAAAATAACACAACAATACAAAAACAAACACGATGAAATTAGCAATCAAGAACAAGGGAATTTAGTGCAACCTTATCCCCATTCTTAATAGCAGAGATCGAACTATAGTTTTGTACTTGTGCACTATCCATGGTAATGTGATTTTGATTGAATTCCCGGCATCGACATATGCCTGAAGCGTCTTGAAGTTGTTCTCCACCCTGATTCAAACCATTGGAAAACAAATAAAATGTATGATGGAAGGGGCGTATGGTTGTAGAAAAAATGAAGAACAGATAAATACATACCACTGCTTCATGTGAGTTGCTTCCTCAATCTTAGGATCGACTTGTATATGAGACGCACCCCCTGTTGAGAGTTCAATCCCTACATTTCAATAGGCAACCATAAGTATAGGATGGAGTGTGAATCGGTTAGAGAAATTTAACAACAGAAAATTCACCATTAATCAGTGAGCAGATGGAAGCACCATTGAAGAATGTCGCACGCATGCGGTTGCAAACAACAACTGGGAAAGAGGTTAGTTTCTCCCTGATCTGTTCTCCAGCAGTTGAAACAAAGTCATTCCACAGAGACATGGTGACAGCATGCATGCTGCGAAGAAAAAAGGCACAAGAACATGCGATATCAGAGTGTGTTCTTATCCAAACAACAAAGCATTACAAGAACAACGAAGCATATAGTCAGGTAAGTGAGTGACTTTTCATTGACGACGACATATTTCTGAACAGTAAGTGTCCCCCTTTCACCAGCAAGTTCTTTCGAGGGGTAAACCTTGACAACGGCCCCAACCACATCTGCAGCGTAGAGCGACATAATCGAACTTGAGAATGTAATAACACAGGAAGAGTGGCATTAACAAAACAATTGGAATTTGAGAACTTACCAACTGTTTTTTTGGCAACGTCGACAAACTGCGGTATGTCAGTGAAATCAGTGAAGTTCATCTTGACAGGAGTGTTTTCGCATGCAGCGATTTCTTCAAGGAATGTCCTACCATTGATTATCCATTGCATCTCAATACCGTCGTTCCCTTTGTACTTCTCGGGTATTTTCTTGACCTGTGCATTGCGGATGCGATACTTTTTAAACAGATGCAATCGGCCACCCATACGCTGAATTTCGTGATTGAAGCAGATAGCCTCAACACAGGTACCCTGAAGAAATAGTCAAAATTAGATGAAAAAGAACAGACAGGTCATCTAATGTGTCGTAGTGGCTTCAACGGAGCATTTTAGGGACTAACTTACCTCATCGTCCTGTAGAATGAATTTTTGGAATGTTGTTGGGCTGCTGTGTGCCTTGTATGGCATGCGCTTCTCGAGCACCGTAACAACAGCATCCCACCCAATGGCACCAGCAGGGATCGCATCGATAGGCATTGGTGTATGTACCTATAAACAAAGCAATCAAGTATTAAATAACATGAGATGCCAGAATTGATCAGTGGACCGAAACGAAGAGCATAGAAAAAATAGATAAATTGCTAACAAGCACAACAAACCTAACAACATGGAATTATTTGTTTGCCAGTTGGAATACTCGAGGGAATATAACATTTCGTGTCTTACAGTCATTTCGAATCTCACTTAGGGTAGGAGGAAGTATAAGAACCTTCACGTGCGACATTGTTTTTGCCCTAGAAAGGGCAACATACAGCTGTCCATGAGAAAACACAGGTTCTCGGAGGTATACTCCAACATAGTCTGGAGTCTGGCCCTGGGACTTGTTTATTGTCATCGCAAAACACAGCTTAACAGGAAATTGCTGCCTAGAAAAAGGGATACCATTTTTCTCACTATCGGAACTGTTCAGAGGTATTTTCGGGAGAAAGTAACACTTCCCCTTATGTGGACCGACAGCAATCTCAACATATAAGGAATTTTTCCTCATCCCTCTACAAACCAATCTAGTTCCATTGCACAAGCCGGCTGCAGGATCTATATTCTTGATCAACAGCAATGGACAGTTTAATTTGACGACTAATTTATGCGGAGGTAATCCTTTCGGATTAAGAGTGTTGAGGAATTCCTCGAAGTCACCCTGGTGCCTAAGATCCAATGCCTTATCAACACTTGTATACACAGACTCATCACCCGAGAACCGCTGAATGAGCATGGAATTTATGTCATGAACAGAATCATTTTTAGTGCATAATATACATCGGTTGATCATTGAATATGCATCAGAGTGAAACAAGTTCAGGTCAATGAATACATGCTTAACAAGCCTGCGGAAAAAGCATAGCAAAAATGACGCCATATTAGGAGCAGCAGAAGGGAATATTTTTTCAAGAGAAAGAAGGGAAAGTATACGATATAAGGTCAACCTATTCAAAGCACTGTCACGATCGTCGTAGGGAACAACCATTTCAGATGGCAAGGTAATGTTCCCATCCTCGTCAACAGGTTCTACACCTTCGCCAATGCGAAGCAAGAACGAAGAGAAATCTGGATCAAGAGCTGCTCGCATATTCTCAGTGAGGAAAAGTTTTTGCAGGTCCAGCCAAAACTGAGAACACAGTATGCTCGATTCCACCTGCTTATCAGCAGAAGCATGTGGAATTACTGGCAAAGTTTGCCTAAAATCTCCGCCAAAAACTACAACCTTTCCGCCAAATGGTAAAGACGACCCCATGATATCTTGGAGGAGTAAGTTAAAGGCTTGAAGGACATCAACGTGGGCAATTGATGCTTCATCCCAGAGAATAAGGTGTGCTTCCAAGATGAGCTGGGCTGCACTGCTTTGTTTGCTAATACCACATGTTTTTCCCTTGGTAAAATCCAATGGGATTTTGAACCGGGAGTGCGCTGTCCTACCCCCAGGCAGAATTGATGCTGTAACGCTTGAAATTGCAACAGCAATTGCAATATGGCCCCGGGATCTGACAGTTGCGAGAAGACATCTATAGAGGTACGTCTTTCCAGTCCCACCAGGGCCGTCCACAAAAAACGATTGACCATCTTGCAAATCAACACTCTTCATTATACAATTGTATGCCTTTCTCTGGCAGACATACATCTTATCGTGTAGCAAGAGTTCTTCCGGAGAAACTACAATGCTTCTTTCATAGTCGAGCTCAGTGCCTGTCGGCCTAAAACACATTCCAACTCCATCCAGTATTAAATGGTAGTCGCCAATGTGTTTGTTCATGTGTTCTAGGTAGCGATTTATATCGTCTAAAATGTGGAGCCTAATGTCTGACAAATCTAAAGGAGCCGATAAGTTCGAGCGTCTAAAATCAGTGGACATTTGATACTCGAACTTTGAAAACAAATCAGCAGGATGATTCGGGCTGCAATAAACAAGCAATACTGCAAAAAGATACCTAAGGGAAACAGGCATTTGAAAGGCAGCCGCTTCATTTAGGGTATCTTCAATGTACTCATCTGATTGAAGCAACCCCATCTTCAACGCAGTCTCCCTGAAAGAAGAGTATCTCCTACCATCAACAGTCAGGAGATCATCATAGGATTTTGGAGCTCTCACATTGGAAAGAAGCAACCGCATGTAATACCTCTCACCTTCTTTTGGACTAACTGACACCATCCTACCTATAACTTCCCCTTTTTTCCGCTCAGTCCATTTTTTTTCCTTCTTATTCCAGCAGAAGTGTTGTGGGAAGTCCTTAAACAGGAGTTGGAGTTTCTGTGCTAGAGGATTAGTACGATTAGTTCTAAAAAACTCAGTGAGCATTGTCTTTGAGAACTCAGGATTCCCTAAAAGCTCAGATAGGTCAGCGGTTGCGGAAAAGGACACCAACTGCTCACCATCAAGGTGAACCTGCAATGAGTAAACAGAAGGCCTCATAAGGCTGAGGTAAAAGCCGTAGATTCTCCAAGCACCTTCAGGCGGCCCAATCCAGCGAGCGTCCTGATAGTCCTTGATTTCATTAACTTCCTTAGGGTTATCAGCCGAAACAACATAGAAGGAGACCATGTCAATCCCCTTGTACACGTACTTGTACATGTACTTGACTAACCTGACTGTTGAGCAAATCTCAACATTCATATGGCAGTCATACCTCGCGAGCAAGTACGGATTGTAAGGCACAACCCAACGATTATCCAAATCATGGCCAGAAATTGTAACGATCCTCCCATTGTTACGCCGGCGATAGCAAGGATAAGCATCTTCAGCGTGGGAGGTCATTTCAGCAAATGGTTTTGGGTATTTACTTTTGCAATAACCATTTTTCATACACGGGCTAGCCGGTTTCAGATCACCACATGGGCCGTGGACCATATGTTTCAAAACCAGCTTATGCAGGTGAGGATGCTGGACAGGGTCAGGTATTTCAGCCGAGACGATCCTGTCGTACGCTTCAGGGCCCAAAGGCTTCCATTTATCCTTGAGGATAATCAGGAAATGAGCATGAGGCATCCCGCGTTTCTGAAACTCTACAACATGCACACAAGCTGCGACTTCCCCAAAGACTTGTGTTTTCATGATGTCCTCTTTTAGGTATTCAAGTTTAGCCCTGAAAACACGTGCGAGCAAATCTGGCCTGTCAAATGGTTTTTGATGGTAACATAAGTTTGCTTTTATTTCTGGCCAGTTAGGGTTGCATGTGATTGTTAAAAAAATGGATGGCTTGCCAAATTTTTGAACCAGTGCCATAGCATCAAGATAGCGACGACGCATGTCCCTTGGGCCACCAATGAACGAAGGCGGCAGAATAAATCTCTTGCCAATATTAGATCCGTCTGATTCACCAGCGGAACGAACATCCATAACCCCCTGAAGGATTTCAGATCTAAGTTCATTCTGTTTATACCGAATAAACTGCAGCCGGCACGTTTCAATCTTCACGTATGCGTTAACAACATACTATTGTAGAAGACGCATCGAATCCAAAAGCATGGATTCGTCATCGGCCCTCATCTGTAGCTTGTAGCAGTAATACTCTCTAGCAGTGACCATATCGCGATGAGTGGTCCCTTCTAGGACTACTGAAAAGGGAATTAACAAGGGAAAAAAGGAGGACGACATAAGGAGGAAGGCAACGGGAAAAAATGGCAGACTGATGGTTAAGAGAGGCATAGGCATCTGAGAAAAAAAACTGGAAAAGAATGATTAAAATGAGCTGCATAAGAATATGATACTTGCCTTGCTCCTCTAAAGCAATAATGTCTTCAGGAGATTCCATTTCGGCGATGGCTTCTCGACTAAAAAGATCAGTTGTTTTGCCTACACAGGAGCGCGAACCTACAGCATGCTTAGGGATCAAGCGGTGCCAGCCCGATTGGCCACCAGGAAAGAGAATAGGATACTACAACGGATCCGTGCAAGCATAGTAGTGCCTGACATTGTAGCTCTCATCACTCTCCGTGTAGACACGAATGTCTGCACCTCTTTTGAACTCGTCACCATATTCAGTTTCCCTGAAGATGGCCGCAACCTGATCGCAGGAAGGCAAGTTGTACCGCCTCTGATCCAGATCAGGAGTACAACTGAGAATTATCTGTTTCTGATCAAGGTCCGGCACATAGCGCAAGTTCCTAAAGAACTTCGTGTAAGGATTAGAAGAAAGGAGACGCATGAGCAGCTGCAAGGTGCTCTTTTTAAATTTATCCGTCGATTGCATCCTCCACGAGATTTCCTCGTGTTCATCGTAGAAGTAGAGCTGAACACCAGAAGGAGGATGACCATTCGGCTGCAAAGGATGCAAGAGATGATGCATTTGCCCCTGCACGCGAAAAGTGTACATCCCTCGGGTGTTCATAGTCAAATCCCGATCATAGGTGACACCAAGGGAGGTAAATGCAAAGTTATTGTTGTAGCTACGAATATTTTTCCAGAACTCAACGGATTCCTCATCCAACCCAATGAATAATCTTCGGAGAGCGTATGGCATTGGATGGCTGACGAGTGAAACTTTACCCTGCGAGCAACAGAAATTTGGGGGTTCGAACGGAAAAAGTTTGGCCCGACAGCATTCACAGTTTTGAACAGTCGGAAGCACCATTGACTCTAGAGGAGGGTCGCTCAACAGATTCAAGGATGGTTTCCTCTTCTTTGATCGTGGCGCTTGCTGAAGCATACACGATACGTCTACACCGTCGAAGAATAGAGTGAAATTTAGGGTGCTGAAAACAGCATTACAAAGGAAGAGCAGGATAAATTGATGAAAGAGATAGTTCGAACCCATATTTCGCCGCTTCAGGCGGGATTTCACAGGATACCATGAGCTGGGACCATCCAAACAATTTGGCCAGGAAGATGTGCTAGCAGAAACAGAATGTGAAGGAAGATCGGCACGAACCGCTGGCACGTAGAAATGAAGTATAACATGAGCAAGCGGTAGAGCACGAAGATCGGATAAGTGTGCAAAGAAAGAACCGAAGAACAAGTGAATAGCATCACTACCGTTAAAGTTTTCGGCCCAAGCCATGGGCCGAAATACATCAGCCGTGTGACTGGATGTCGGAGGAACAACAGAGTCGGAAGACTCAGTCGTTGTTTGGCCTGCTAATGCAGGATGACCAGGCAGGGAGGCGCTTTGGGTTGGATTGAGGGAAAATTTAGCAGCGCAGGGCAAATTCTGAAGGGATGGTAAAGGAGAAGCGGCAAGAAGGGGAGTACTGCTGCAAGAGACAGTATTTACAGGACAACTAACAGCGTTGCTGCATCCCCGTGCCTTTTTCAAAGCATACAATTGCCTTCTACGAGCAAGGAGTTGCTGTTTTTTTTCCCCTGCTATCTTTGACACACGAGAGGCATACAACTCCCTACTACGCGCATTTCTCTGAGTAATCTTATCGACCTCAGGAGCGACAAGAGGGGGAGGGATGTTAGGTGTAGTCAGCAAAGCGGGGGTCTCAATGGCGGATGCATCACAACATCCAGTGGCATTTTCCACGCCACAAGAAATCGGAGGATAACTACCGACGTCAGGCACTAGAGCTTCCTCCATATCTTAAGAGGAAGCAATAAGAAACGCGCAAGTACATTAACAAATAGGATCACTGGGAGGTGGCCGAAAAGTTGCAAGAAGGATACATGTATCGATGCGTACCAAATATCGTCAACAAAGACACTCATAGAGATACAACAACGAAGACATTAACGCGACACAATAATATATATGAATATATATATATATATATATATAATAACAAGGCGATAAGAAAAAGGAGGAAAGCATCGGTAGTTCATGCATGGCATCCGTAAAAGTTAAACATATGAACATACCTGAGTAGTAGAAGGAGGACTAAGTACGAACGTAGAAGCGAAAGAACGAAGAAACCAGGGGCACCCCAACCAGGAACACAAAACAACAGGGAGCAACTGGGAGAACATAGAACCAGCAAAATTAACAAAAGAATTTAACAGAGATTTCAGTAGGGTTAACAATAAAGAAGGGGCTACGAAAGTTCACACAACAGGGGGGGCTTGAGAAGCGAAACACATGCGAAAAAGGGACAAAAGCAAAAAAGAAGTAGTTTATGCAGCTGAAGATGAAAAAGTGGGTTGCACCATACCACGCGTACTTGCTAACGAGCATCAAAACGGTTTAGAATGTCTAGAATCACCACAAGAAGAAAATAAAAGGAGTATACCACGATTTGCTGAGATAATGTGGCTGGACCATCAATTGAAGACCAATGAAAAACTGACTTAACGTGCAAACAAGTGGAAAAGCAATTTCATTATTGGCAGAAGAAGGTAAGAGAAATCAACAGCCACCAATATTTAGACACCTCGCTAAGGCGAAGCCGAAAGCAAATTTACAGCTGTAGGAGAGTATGCTATGATACTATTAAGTTTAAACTACTTCCTCCAGGGTAGAAAAGGTTGCATTAAAGTTTGAAACATATGAATTACTTCCTATGAAAAACAGAAAAAAGTACGAGAAAAAATCCTTAATAGTAACCGACAAAAAAAAGAACAGGAAATAAGGAATGAGGGGATTCAATCGCAGAAACCACTGTATCAGAACAAATGAAAATGAGGCCCGAGCAAGTTGCAGCAAACAAAATAGCAATAATAATAAGTAGTTGTTCATGTAAAGTAAAGTTCAAAACGTAAGAACTCGACGAAATCGAAGGCAATGCAATAAGATCAAACCTAACAGCCAGTTTCACTTCAATAAGCAGAAGAAATGGATATTCATGGTCAAAAAGGAACCAACTCTACACCTAAATAAACTAAATTTTAAAGAACAAACGATGACAAATTTATACCCTCACTAAACCTGAACAAAAGTACAATTATTAGCTTCTTCACCCACAGTCAATCCCCAGCCCAAAAAACATAGAAACCCAATTTCAAAATACCCCTTACTTTAAAGACAAAATAAATAAATGAAAAGCCACCTCAATCACACGAATATACCAAAAGAACTGCATCAAACCAATAAAACCAAAAGAGGAGAAGACCATAGAGAGTACCTTCATGTAGAGACCAAAAATCCAGTTGTAACAACTTAGGAAAAAGGGGATTATTTTTAAAAAATAAAGAACAAAAGATGACAAATTTAAACCCTCACTAAACCCGAACAGAAGTACAATTATCAGCTTCTTCACCCACAGTCAATCCCTAGCCCGAGAAACATAGAAACCAAATTTCAAATTACCCCTTACTTTAAAGACAAAATAAATAAATGAGAAGCCACCCGAATCACACGAATATACCCAAAAAACTGCACCAAAGAGGAGAAGACCATAGAGAGTACCTTAATGTAGAGACCAGAAATCCAGTTGTAACAACTCAGAAAAAAGGGGGATTAATTTCATAAAACAAAGGGAAAAAAACACACAGGAGAACCCAACACCAAACAGTGGTAATTAACGAATCACCCGATAGAGAGCTAAAGTCATATTGGAGAACTAAAGAACAAGGAGACGCATCCACCAAATTCGTCAAAGCAGGAATATACAGATTCAAAATACGAGAACAAAACAGTGGTAAGCAATTAATCACCCGGTAGAGATTTTTACCTTGCAACAATGGATGGGAAGATACGGAAGACGGTGGAGACGAACAAAGAACTGTAATGAAGATGAACATCACTATAAAGATCGCCATATCCCAGGAGATGGTATTTTCGAATAAAGGCCGAAGGCTGTACAAGATAATCCGGCATGTACTGAATCTATAACCAGCCATTTCTGGAAAACTTGGAAAACCGCTGGTTACAAGGGGGAGAGAACCTTCACGGGGATTAAAACATGCTGCAAGGAAGATGACAAGAGAAGAAGACAAAGTTGGGAGCGGCGGAAGAACACGTCAGATTCAGACAGCAATTGAAATGTCTGAAATTAGGAGAAATTGGGGAAAAAACGAAATGTTCAAATAAGTTGAAATTCACTTTTGGAAGGTGACGCGTGCGACCACGAAGAAGGGAAAATGCGCGCAAGAGAAGCACGTGGGAAGCATTGACCAGGAGAAATTGGGGAAAAAACGAAATGTTCAAATAAACTGGAAGGTGACGCGTGCGACCATGAAGAAGGGAAAATGCGCGCAAGAGCAGCACGTGGGAAGCATTGACCAGAGATGGTTGAACCAAAGACTTTTGGAGTGCATCGACTCTTTAGAAGTTACTTTATAATAACAAAACTACTCTCGAAATTCACAAGCAGCGGCACTGTTCTTCGTTTTTTTCTCACTTTTCCCCTAAATAAAACAGAAATTAGCCAAAAAACATCAAACCATTACACAAGTCTTTTTAATCACTCATCAATTGTTTTGTTCTCAATTAAGATTAGTTTATTCATTGTATTTTCTAATTGATATACGTATTTGACATATATATATATTTAATTTCTATTGTTCAGTTCGGTTTAATAGTTCTAATTTAAGAGAATTAAAGTTGTATGAATATGTTCTCAAACTTTTATTTAATCCCTTGTTTGATTTGTTTAGTTTGATGTTAGTATTTTATGCAATATACATGATATTTAAAGGTTTTGATTATTTTAATTGTAAACTTATATTTGGCATTGAAAAAACATTATTCATATGGAGACGGTTATAAAGCGCCTCAAAGGTTGAAAACTCGCCGCAAGCAAATTTAAATGTGTTAATTAAGTAGTTCTTGTGAACGTTGAGTCGGCCTTAATTTTTTTGCGACAAATATTTTTTTTCTCTAATTAAGATTTTATATTACATGTGGCCCCTCTGTATTTTCATCCTAGATCCGCTACTGGTCTGGACCCCTTAAACGTGCAAAGCTATGCAAAGCTTCAAGAACGAAGGCAAAAGAAAGTTAAGAAAGCTTGGAAGTGTAAGAACGATGAAGGCACAAGAGAGCTTAAGGAATGCCTTGAGAATTCTTACTCAAGGCTAGGATGCTTTACAAATGAGGGGGTATGGGGTATTTATAGGCTAAGTCCCCAATTCTAAGAGAATTCTAGAGAATTCTATACAAAGGAATAAAATATACAAAGTCTAGAGAATTCTATGATTAAAATATTCTAAGTGTAGAATTCCATAGTATTCTAGAATCCTCTAGTCCGTTCTTGGCCGTTCCAGCAAAACCCGGGAAGTTTTCCTACATTTCCAGCAAAGTCCGGTCGCTTCTAGAGAATTCTAAATCCGTGTGGATTTGACCCGAGTTTTTCAGCATTCTCTAGAACGTCCCGTCCCGTATCCTGGCTAAGGAAACGGCCCGGCTAACCAGCAAACCCCACAACAACATGGGAAAAGACGGCAAACTCGAGAAACGGGAAATGGCCGTGACATCCTCCCCCACCAAAACGGTGCATCGACCCGATGCACCTAAGTCTCGAAGGCAATGTTGATGGGAACGGGTGCATAATTCTTTTCAAAGTCCTCGATCAACTTGGTGAATTGCCAAAGCTTTTCGACTGGTTCTCAACTCGTCTCGCTCATTGGCAAACCCTTCCATTTCACCAAGAATTCTTTAGTCGCTGCCCCGTTCTTGCCCTGAACGATCCTCTTAGAAAGGATCTCCTCTGCGGTTCGTTCCTCGTGCTCGCGGACGCCAGCGGGTGCCCTTGAGGAAATGTTCCGTTCTTCGTCCTCCGGGTCCTTGCGGTATGGCTTAAGTAGGCTTACATGAAAAACCGGATGAAGCCTTGAAAAGGCCTCAGATAGCTCCAACTTATAAGTAACGAAACCTACTTCTTAAGAACGGTGAATGGACTCTCATTCCTGCCCATGAGACCTTTGTGAGGACCACGGCTCCGTCCATGCTCTTAAAGCTTCACCGAGACTTGGTCGCCTTCTTTAAACTCGCGACGGGTTTGTTTCTTGTCCACCCATTTCTTCATGCGCGCGGCCGACTTCTCCAAGTAGAGCTTCGCCTCGTCGGCTCGTTCTTGCGAATCCTTGGCAAACTTCTATGCGTGAGGGTTATTGCCCTTGTATCCCCCAAGGATGTCCCTAGGTGTAGTCGGTTGGAACCCAAGGACAATCTCAAACGGACTCTTGCCCGTGCTCTCGCTCCTTATTAAGTTATAGGAGAATTAGGCCACGTCTAGCAACCGTACCCAATCCTTCTGGTTGGCTGCCGCATAGTGCCTAAGGTACACCTCCAAAAAGCCTTTGATGCGCTCCGTCTGCCCATCCGTTTATGGGTGCAAAGATGTAGACATCTTGAGTTTCGTCCCAAGTAGACGAAAGAGTTCTTGCCAGAAACGGCCGGTGAACCTCGAGTCCCTGTTGCTTATGATGGATGTAGGCAGCCCCCAATAGTTTACCAGCACTCTTTCGGGGCGGGTATAAAGACCGCATACTTCGACAAACGGTCTACCACAACAAGTATATTGGTGCAATCCTTGGAAATGAGCAAACTCACGATGAAGTCAATCGAAACGCTGTCCCACGGGCGTTCCGGAGTAGGCAAGGGTGATAACAAGTCATGCAGGTGATCTTGCTCGGTCTTGTCTTGTTGGCAAACGAGACAAGTCCTCACATAGGTCTCCACGTCTTCCCGCATGCGAGGCTAAT